CTATTGTAAAAAAAAAAAAAAAAGAAAGAAAGAAAGAAAGAACTTGCACATTATACCGAAAAGCATTAGTTTTTTTTTAATCCATGGAAAATGTAAAACGGCAAGGTCTCCTTTAATTACAACTTTCAAAGAAAACCACTGTTAGCAGTTTGGCAATACGTGGATTCATGATACAGTATCTATGAAATTAGTTCCTTTTAAAGAAAATATTCATATCAGATTTCCTGATGGTAGAGAAAACAGGTAAACAAGATTGAAAAACAAAAAAAAGAAATCTGCAACCCAAATAGAAATGCCATGAAACACCCTGATATAAAAGGGGCTACAACTTAATAGGACAGACCAGTTCTCACCCTGGCCTTGCTGGCCTCTCCCGACTCCCTGTTTCAGATGTGGATAAGAAGACCTACTTTACCAGACTTTTGGGGACTTATGTAAGATGCTGTACCCACATGAGTTCTGTAGTCTTTTTGTTTGCTGCAGTTTGTTTTTCTCCACCTGCACATGAGAACCCCTTGGGGAGCCCATGACAATGAGATTCCCAGATGTCCTCAAGGAGAATCTCTGGGGGTGGGGCCTGAAAGTCACAGGCAAGTGCGCTCTGCAGGGGAAAAGGCATGAGGCATATCTGGTTTTATTACTGCACTGTTTGGCCTCTAACACAGAACCTGGTAACAGTGTTCAACAAACATTAGTGGGATGGATAACAAATGAAGAGTTGTATTTTAAAAAAGATTAGTTACGTTGCAAAAGATTTCATGAAAAAAAGCTTCCATGATGCTTATGTAAGAAAATGTCTCTCGGCAAAAAGCAGTTATTAGCTGTACTTGATACAGAGAACTGGAACTCATTTCTATTTCGTTCCCTTTCCATCTTAGACCATAAATCAAGGTGCACTATACTAAATTTAATTAAGAGTCAAGGTAATCTAGTTTGCCTCACTAAAAAAACAACTCATGAGAATTGGATTATGGGCGATTTCCAACTCTCAAATGGCCTCCCTCCACAGACTCTACAATCACTGTTCAAAAATTTATCCCTTTTCAATCACACAGAAAACTATTTTCTTTCAGTAGTTCATTTTACGACAATTCAAAATACTAATTGCTAGGTACCAGCTTTAATAAGCAATCTGTCTGTCACTTTGATAAAAATGTATGTACCTGGTAGCCACAGGAGGTTAGACACCACCAACACATTCACAGTGAAATTTCCACGGACAACACAATGATCTCAGGTTATGTTTCATTTCTTATTCTTCAAATGCATTTAAAATTTCTACAATGAATATGCACTCCCTAAGTAATTTTTCTTGTAATTTTAAACAGAAAAATGCAAAAGCCCAATAATTTAGTAAGAGTAATATAATTGAGGAATCCTGAAAGGTTTTCAAGTTTTTATTTTCCAGAGTCAAAACAAGATCAGGTAAGCTTAAGATATTATATTTGGAAAAAAATTAACCCTTCACGTACTACTACCAAGAATTCTAAAGCTCTTTAACTTAAAAAAAAAAGTCTTCAAATTCTATGAAGGACATTATTGGTTCTGCTGGCAAAAAGGAATACAGAGAGTAGATTTGATCCAAGTATTGTATCGAAGTTAAATTTCTTTAAGCTCATAACCAAACAGGTTATGCAGGACACAGTCCTTGGTTCTCAGGTTCTTAGGAAATACATGTGGAAGTTTTCAGGGGTAGAGGGGCAAGATGTATGCAATTTGCTCCCTTTGCTTGTTTGCAAAAGATATAATTACACAATGAATGACAAAACAAATGCTGAATGGGGGAAATGTTAAACTGATGAATCTGGGTAGAGGGTATAAGAGTTTTTCCTACAATTTTTGCAATTTTTTGTAAGCCTGAAATTATTTCCAAATAGAAACTGTAATTGAAAAAAGTTAACAGAAAAAAAATACTCAAAGCTGTTAAGATCATACTGGACCAACTTTAAGCAAGGCTTTATTGTGAGGAAAAAACACATTTAAAAACTGTGCTAATAAAAACACTCACACAGCACCAACTTTAAAAAAAAAATTAAATTAGCACCACCCAGGAGAAATATGAGTCATATATGTTATATTTGAAACAGGTGAGACTAATTTTAATATAATTTACTTAGGCATTGTGTAAAATATCATCATCCAATGCAATCAATACGACAATTACAAATCAGTTATTTTACAAGGTTGTTCATAGCAAGTCTTCAAAATGTGGAGTGCATTTGGCACCTACAGATAATCTCAATTCACATGCTAAATTTCACAGGAAATATCTGACTTGCATTTACATTCATAAAATGTAGTTTAAAAAGTAGACTCATATAAAAAGTTGTTTCCAATCACTGAACTGAGTATTGTTTTTAAATGTAAATTAGCTAAAATTAAACAAAATGGAAAATTCATTCCTCAATCATTATAGCCACCACTGCAAGTGGCTACCCTGCGGGACAGCCCCGCTTTAGATGATGAAGACAAACCCCATCAAAGGAGGATTTGCCAAAACTTAGCACATCACATTTATCAAAGGATTTTAACACAGTTATAATAAAGTAAAAGCTGATGCTTCTATCAGAGGCATTGGTATTTGTCCAGGTCATAATCAGACATTGCCTCTACCATCACTTAAATACCAGCACAAAGCTTCTTGATATTCTGCCTCAGATGTCATACTATGAGTTTCCGGAATATTGGCTACCAAAGGGCCCACTCATTTTAAAATGTGGTGGAATGAACTCGAGTTCTGGCTCTCAGAAGCCTCAGTGTCCACTGCACAGAGTGCAGGATTTCAGCACGAATACCACAAGGGAGCAGGCCCTCAAATGAACTTGTCTCGGATTTAACAGAGGAAGTGACCCCGAATACAGAGATTCTTTTTCTTTCCTTTTAAACAGGTGTATGAGATTAATTCAGTCAACACCAAGCAACACTCAAGATTTGCCAATCAATAACTCTGTGCCAAGCAATCTGATGAGGGATTTGGCTAGAATCCCTTTGGCTAATCTCAGTAAGGACCATCTCAAAGAGAATCCTGATTTAGGCCATTCTCATCTAAACCAAGGCTCAGGCAGCCCTTTGCCTGGAAGTTAGTAAACAAAATCAAATTATATATGTATGAAGGAAATTCTGCCTCTTGGACAAAAGAAAAAAAGCATTTGAAAGATAATTTAGTAAGGGTAGGCAAAAATACAGCTCCAAAGATGAGAAGTTTCCTAAAACCGTATGCAAACACCATTTTAGGGAAATGTCTAATTCCTACTTTCTGTCTAGTCGGACTTTCCGATTGAACAACGATGTGGATAATAATCAAACTTAATCCACAACAGCTAATTCTGGTATTGTTCACTGCTCTTTCTCGGCAGGCAAACAAGTGCCTGTTTAGACCTGAAAGGAAGATATTCTTGAAAACTGATGAACCCTTGATTGTGAATTCACTAGTGCCTGAAGTTACTCATACCTCTGGGAAGTGAGGTAAAAGAATGTGAACAATGGTTTGTGACATCCTGCCCTAAGAGTTAAATTCTATGTTCCAAACAAAAGCTTTTTCCTTTCCCTCCCACCGCACTCATCTAGAGTGCTTCCCTGCGACACCATATCGTAGATCACAGACATAACTCTAACCACTGCGTGGAAACGAAAAGAATCCTAATCTAAAAGTATGCTTACATAAGCATTAACTATTTCTACTTGAAACTTCCTCCACCACCACCCCGCCCCCCGCCCCCGAAGAATCAAAGCTTTAAGCAGGATGAATAGGACGTTTTAAGCTGTTCCACTGGAGGTTTGTTCTAGAGTCGATTGTTTCTAATCGTGGAAATATTTCCACTTTCTGCAGGAGAACACGTTCTAACTGTGGGTTTTTATTAGAAACTCTTCAGTCAATGCCTGTGTAATCAAATCCAGTCTCACTTCTCTCTGAAATTAGCCAACTCCGCAGAAAGCCATTGTAATTTGCAAAAGAGCGAAGAGGAGAAATAAACTACACCAGAAACACACATTCCAGTCCGACAGATCAAGCACTATTTCGAGATGGCAAGTAAAAATAAAGCCCCACGTCTCCATTGTGGACAGAAAGGTTTCTACAAGCGGCCAGGTCCAGGCCACAAGGCAGGACCCCCTGACCCCAGCGAACCTTCCCGGCAGGCAAGCAAGCACTGGACCACCGCCCGGCACAGACGTGTGTGTCCGCGAGGTCGCCAGGTGCGGGGAAACTACTTACGCCGAAAAAGTACGATTCAACCAGAGTTTTTCAACGTATTCACGGGTATTGTCCCTGCTCGCTGAAACCTACCACAAAAGGGAACAACGCCGACAGCAGACAAGGGTTTCCCCTGGTTCATCAGATTCAGGCAACCGGATTGTATTTAACAATCCCTCCCGAAGATCCGACACCAGAGCCGGGATCCGGAGCGGGAGGCGCACAGGAAGCAGAGGGCGCACCCGCTGCAGGGAGCGGAGTCGCTCCCGTGCCGCCCGGGAGGCGCTGTCCCGGCGCCCGCATCCCCGCGCACTCGCCAACAAAGGCCGCATCCGCCGTTCCCGGGTGGAAAGCCCGGGTGCCGCACGGGGGCCGGGTCAGCACGGCCGCCCCCGGAGCGAGCCCAGCCGCACCGGGTCCCGGGCTGCAGGGCGCACGGCAGAGGCTCGCGCGGTCCCGGGGGACGGCGGAGTGGGAGTCTGGGCTTCGCAGGGTCCGCAAAGGATGTGGCGGCGCCGCGGGCGGGATGGGGGCTGGGGCGGCCGAGGCGGCCCGCTGCCCCCCGCAACCCCGATGCCTTTCATTTGGCCTCTGCGGCGGCGGAGACAGCCCGACCTCCAGCGCCAAGCACTGCGCCAAGCCGGGGCGGGCGGGGGAGGCGCTCCAGACCCGCCGCAGCGCCGGACCACCCCCACCGCCCCGAGCGCCGCGACCCGCTCCCGGCCCGGACCCCGCGGCCCGCCCGCCCGCAGGCCGCGCTCCCCCGCGGGCGCAGGATAAAGGGCTCGGGCGCTCGCCCGTTCCCCACCTCAATGTAGCCGGCCAGCGCCGCGGCGGGAGCTGTGAGCCCGAGCAGCAGCACGACCAGGAGTTTGCCCGTGGCCGCGGTGGCCGCGGTCCCGGTGGCCGCCATCCCTCGCCGGGTCGCTCTAGCGCTCGGCTCTCAAGCTCACACAGACGGACCCAGGAGTGTTCCCACCGCGACCCAGAAGCATCTGAAGCTTGTCCGCCGCCGCCCCTAGGGTTTTACAGCGACCGGAACTGACTTCACAAAACCACACCCTCCATCTTCGGCGCCCAGTGCCGACCCGCAGAACCTCCGCAAGACACAGCCCCTCGTTCAGCCCAGACCCAATCAGGGGACGGAAGAGCCCGCCCCTCCCTCCGCTCCAGCCGCGCACCCCGCCCGGTCCCGCCCCCAGCTGCTGACGCCCCGCCCCGCCGGGCCCCGGCTGCTCCGGGACGCGGGGGTGTGCGCCGGGTTGGGGGGGCCCGGGCGGGGTGCGCTTGGGCCGCCAGCACCCTCCTGGTTATCTGCCAGCACCCTCCTGGTTATCTGCCCGCACTGCGCCCTTCTGTTCTCCTGCAGCCGCCCGACACCAGACACGCCCCGCTGCCCGCCCCTGCGGGCTATTTTCCAGATTCCTTCGGGTACCGCCCTCTTCGGGGTTCCGACAATGATTTTATGAAAAACAGGGTTTTTTTTTTTTTTTAAGGAAAAACAGGATGAATTGTTCCGAGTCCAGGCAGGTTTGCAGAAGGCCGTCCTCCCGGACAGAGGAAGGGCTGCAAGAGGCTGCGTTCCTCCGCCCCAACAACCCCCGTAGGGCGCGCCCCGTCCCTGCCCGCCGCTCGCCCAGAGCCGCTGTTTGCAAGCTCTCGACCGCTGGTCCTTAGGCCTCAGCCTTCCTCCTCCTTGCCGGCGGCCGCTAGAGCCCGGGATAGCTCCCTCCCACCGGAGACCAGCGGTGCGAGGACCACGTTGACCTCAGAGCCCAGGTCCAGGCCTTCTTCCTGTGTTTCAGGGAGAGATCGTTTTTCTTTCTTGTTCGGTTGACGATCGCTAGCAAGAGACCTGCTTCTCTCTGCCTGCGTGCCCCGCTGCGCTTCCACTCCAGCTGGGAGACACCATACTACTCGGTTCACAGCGGGCACGGCCTCGCGGTGCTGGGGCACCGCCGGCTTTGTTTCCTGTCTGCAGCCGTGAGGTTTATGGACCAGCCTCTGCAGCGTCCTTGCTCGTTTCCAAATACATAGAGAGCGGGGTCTCTAACCACAGGAAAGACGGTAAAAGCGAAGAGACAGTGTCCAACCAGGAGAGCGCCGGACTTTCCAGCCCCATTGCAGACGTGCCCGGTCCTGGACTTGAACAGGCTCTGCCCCATTCCCCAAAGACAGCCCGCACCTTTCCATTACAGAGCCGTCTCGGTGCCTGCACTGTCCTCGCTCCCGTTACCTGTTGTAAACATCTTCCTCTTCGTCTGCTCGCCTCTGCTTCTCAACCCCCACAGCCCTATTCCCTACTATGACACTTGCTAACCTTGGTTGTTGTTTAGTCCCTCATTTGTGCCTCTTTGCCGCCCATGGACTGTAGCCCGCCAGGCTTCTCTGTCCATGGGATTCTCCAGGCAAGAAGGCTGGAGTGGGTAGCCATTTCCAACCCCAGGGGATCTTCACAACCCGGGGATGGACCCTGTGTCTCCTGCCTTGGCAGGCGGGTTCTTTACCGTCTGAGCTACCAGGAAAGCCCACTTGCTTCTCTGGTTCTTTCCAAACCTCTCCTACCACTGACAAGACACGGGTAGGTCACAGTGCAGGTCCCCTCATCCTGGACACGCAGCCTCATGTTTGTGCAGCATCATGGAAATCCGTTCTGCGGGATTCTGGCCCTAGTTCAGCCTTCATCTGTTGGTATGGACTGAAGTGTATCCTCTCCAACATTGATGCCCGCTGAGGCCTTGACCCCCCAAATGATGGTGTTTGGAGATGGAGCCTTTGGGAGGTAATTAGGGTTAGATGAGCTCATGAGCAGCCCTCAAGAGGGGATTAAAAGTGCAGTGTTTGTTATTCAGTCCTATCTGACTCTTTGTGTGACCCCATGGAGTGTAACCCTGCAGAATTCTTGTCCATGGGATTCTCCAGGCAAGAATACTGGAGTGTGTTGCCATTCTCTTCTCCAGAGCATCTTCCCCACCCAGAGATCAAACCCCAGTCTTCTGCATTGCAGACAGATTCTTTACCATCTGAGCTGCCGGGGAAGCCCTGAAGGGGGAATTAGTGCCCTTCTAAGAAGAGAACAGAGAGCTTGTTCCATGCTCACCCACCTGCCCCCACCCCCCACGCGTGAGGGCCAGTGAGAAGGCCAGGAAGAGAGCCCTCATCATCGGAAAGCCAGGCTGGCCAGCATCATGCTCTTCGACTTCACAGCCGCCACAACTGTGAGAAAGATCTTCCTGCTGTTTAGCTACCCAGTCTGTGATATTATGTTCTGGCAGCCAGAGTCGACTGGTGCAGCCCTGTAACTATGGACAAACCCTTCATCATGTGACTGTCTTCCCATTCCTGTCAAATGGGAATGTTAAGAAGCTGTCTTAATTCACCAATTTGTGTGATTCAGTGAAAAATGAATGTACAAGAGTGAAAAGCATGAAGTACAACTTTCTGTGAAAATGTGCACGGAAATGGTATCAAGTGACTGTGAAAGACCTAATTCTACTTTGGAGCCTTGGGTGAGTTCTACGGACCCTCTGAGACCTGTTTCCTTGCCCACAAAACTAGGGACTCATCTCAGAGATGCCTAAATTTCTATGACTCTAAATGCTAAGGGAAAAGAAAGTGAAATTCCCTGAGTTCAAAGTTGTGGCCCCAGTATTCATGCTTTCAGGACTGTGTATTCAAGGATGAGCTATAATATCATGGGATAGAAAGATTTGTAGAAAAATGACCTGGGGGGGGTGGTTCTATCTAAAATTAGTTAGATCCTGGGGACTTCCCTGATGGTCTAGTGGTTAAGACTCCATGCTTTCAGTGCGGGGATGTGGGTTCCATCCCTGGTCAGGAAATTGGGATCCCACATGAAAAAAATAAATAAACCCTTTAATTTATTTTAATAAATAAATAAATAAATAAAATTAGTTAGGTCCTGAAAGAAGCTTATTTGCATTTTCAGGTCACTGAAGGATCATTAATAAAACTTTATTGCCCTGTTCATCAATGTCTTGACTTCAAAATGTTACTCTCCCTTAACTAAGTGACACTCATGGAAGCATACCTAGTCTTGCAATTTTCAAATGATAATTTTTCACCCTAAATATGCTCATGTCAGTGACCAAGTCATGTGAAGGGCACTGTTTTCACATTACCCTTTGTTAACAAAAGGAAAAGGCCTAACATAACCTTATATTTCTCCTCTCTTCTTGAGAATCAGACTTCCTTCTAAAAGAGTTATCTTTTATGAACACTTAAGTTGTGTGCATTTCATTTTGGGGGGAAAAAAAGTGGTTTATGTCCCTAAATGTATCCTCATATGAGCAGTGCTCACTCAGCCGTTTGATACGTCTTCAGATGAGGTAAATCTAGCTAGAGCGGTTGCTCCCAGATCAGGAGGATGCTTTTCAAAAAATCAACGAAGAAGTTTTATAAAAAGACAAATTCCTGAGCTCCTACCTCAGAAATTTTGAATCACTAAGGCTAACGTGACATAAGGGATTCAGGATATTTTTTAAAGCTCTCCAGGGAATTCTAATCCACTAATGATTGAGAGCTTGATTCTTGAACATCATGGATCAGTAAAACAAAATTTTTAAAATTGGAGTAGCATTTAAACTTACCAGTGTTTTCAGATATAGAGAACAGACTTGTGGTTGCCAAGGGTGGGGGAGAGGTGGATTAGGAGTTTGGGATTAGCGGATGCAAATTATTATATATAGAATGGATAAACAAGGTCCTACTGTATAGCAGAGGGAACTATATTCAATACCCTATGATAAACCATAATGGAAAATAATATAAAATATATATACATACATATAACGGAATCGCTTTGCTGTACCGCAGAAATGAGCACACCATTGTAAATCAACTATTTACAATTGCCAGTGTTTCAGTTTTCTAAATAAAACGTTAAGACATGACCGAAGAATTGATGCTTTTGAACTGTGGTGTTGGAGAAGACTCTTAAGAGTCCCTTGGACTGCAAGGAGATCAAACCAGTCCATCCTAAAGGAGGTCAGTTCTGAATATTCACTGGAAGGACTGATGCTGAAGCTGAAGCTCCAATACTTTGGCCACCTGATGCAAAGAGCTGACTCATTTGAAAAGACCCTGATGCTGGGAAAGATTGAGGGTAGGAGAAGGGGACAACAGAGGATGAGATGGTTGGATGGCATCACCGACTCAATGGACATGGGTTTGGGTAAACTCCGGGAGTTGGTGACGGACAAGGAGGCCTGGCATGCTGCAGTTCATGGGGTCGCAAAGAGTCGGATACGACTGAGCGACTGAACTGAACTGATATGTTATCACCACTGTTTCATTAAAGAACACTTAACAACAATAAAAACTAAGAATGGTCATAATTTTACAATTTCAAAGATGGGTGCAATGTAAATTTTTAATAACTTGCTACATTACTTTTTCTCATCACAAATCAGAATGGTGAATACTTTATAGTCGAATGGCCATGGTTTAACGCAGGTGTTTGAACATTGCAGTGTGGGCCATAAATATGAACTGGTTGTAAGCTTGGCCTTGGCCTGTAATGGTAGCCTTTAAATATACAATATCCAGGAATTTCCCTGGTGGTCCAGTGGCTAAGACTCCTTGTTTCCAGTGCTGGGGGCTCCAGGTTTGATACCTGGGCAGGCAACTAGATCCCACATGCTGCAACTAAATAGTTTGCATGCTGCAACTAAATATTCCACGTGCCACAACTAGAAAATCCTGCATGCCAAAACTATGACCTGGCACAAGCCAAATAAATAAATAAAAATAAATAGTAAAGAAGAATGTTGTTCCTTTTTAAAATTTTATAAATAAATAAATAAGCCATACTCAGAATGCGTCCTCTGACCCCCAAACCCACCCCACCATCCATGGCTAACTTGCTTCCACTAGAACCTACTCACGGACGTTTCCTGCTCTCCCCCTTCTCCCCCAAGGCTGAGCTGACACACCTCCTCTGTGTTCCCCAAAACATTCTGCACATACCCCTGACACGCTGTTTGTAAACTAAACATCAATCATTTATTTTTATTTGTTGTCTCTTTTATTATATCATGAAGGGAAGAGTCAGGGTGGCTTCATTTCTGTACCTCCACATAGTGCTTGTACTTAATAGACGTTCAAAAAATATTTGTGGAGGGAACACATAACTAAATGAGCTTTACAATCTAGCAGAGAGGATAAAACCTGTGCATGCATAAGGATAGCACTAAGTGCAAAGTCATAAATGGCCCAAGAGAACTGTCTGTGTTCTTTAAGGAGTAAATTGGAGGAAGAAGCTGGTTACATCTGGCTGAGGACATTAGGCAAAGATCATAGAGGATCTTATATCTCAGACTTCCTGTAATATACAAAGGATGTGCAGGAGAGTACAAAAAGCATGGAAGGAATAATGCAAGCAAAGACATGGCATTGAAAAAACACAAGTCATGTAAGAATATGTGAGTAGGGCTTCCCTGGTGGTCCAGTGGCTAGGACTCTGTGCTTCCAATGCAGGTTCAATTCCTGGTTAGGGGACTAGATCCCACAATGCAGCAACTGAAATGTCTTGTGTGCTGAAACTAAGACTTGGTGCGTAAATGAGTAAATAAAAATAAATATTTTTAAAAAAGGATATGTGAGTATTTCACTTCATTGGAGTACGTTAGAGCATTTGTAATAAATAGGAAATATAAGATGGTTGGTCAGGTTACCTAAAAGATCCTGAGGAGCCATAGAAATCTCTATTATTTACAGAAAAGCCACCCTGCAAATATGTAACTCAAGAGAAATTAGAGAGACTTCCCTGTGGTTGATTGACTAAGACTCTGTGCTTCCAATGCAGGGAACCTGAGTTCGATCCCTGGTCAGGGAACTAGATCTCACATGCTACAACTAAGACCTGGCAGTCAAATAAATCAGTAAATACTTCTTTACACACACACACACACACACTCAAAGAGAAATTAGAAAGTTCCCTAGGTCTCTCATATTTCTTTCCTGCTTGGAAGACTTTCAGGTTCCCTTGGCCACTGATGTTGAACAGCTTGGATCACTTCTCCCAGGGACCCTCTGTAAGAAGCAGAAAGGTTTAATTTTATGGGAGTTTCAGCTTCGGGCTTCCCAGGCGGCTCAGTGGTAAAGAATCCGCCTGCCAATGCAAGAGACATGGGTTCAACCCCCGGGTCAGAAAGATCCCCCGGAGAAGGAAATGGCAACCCACTCCAGTATTCCTGCCTGGAGAATCCCACGGACAGAGAGAGGAGCCTGGAGGGCTACAGTCCAGGGGGTCATAAAGAGTCGGACACAACGGAGCAACTGAGCATGCAAGAGTTTCAGCTTCAGGCTTTATAAAGCCTGTTATGTATAAAGCCTGTACAAAGTCTCTCTTACACTTCCTACTGGCCTGAATCAAAATAGGACTTGATTTTCAATCAAGTCAAATAAACAAAAATATCAAGTTACTTAAAAATCAATACAGGGCACCCAAATTCAATCATGCCAGAGCAGGGTCTAGACAGAAGAAAGAATCTGACACTGGAGTTGTCATGCAAATATCTTTTGTTTTCAATGATAATATTGATTTAACTGATTACCATCTGGATGTGTAGGTGTGGCTGAAATATAGTGCTTGAAAAATAACTTTAAACACATGACATGTATAGCCTATGTTTTTTTTTGCTGGTAAACTGGTTGACAGGCTTGATGCAAACAAGTTGTGAATCTTGGGTGTCCTCGTACAGACAAACGTGAGATTTTGACAGTCCCTACTGAGGTCTTGAAGGAGACCCGGGCAAGAGAGTGGTCCTGGAGTTTAGTTAGCTCTGCAGAAAATCTGCCTCTGGCTGCAAATCACTTTTGGAGGACTTGTTATTGCATGTGGCTCTGTCTGTTTACCTTCCTTTATTTGTTGTCCCTGATTCTTCATTTGAAAGGACACATCCCATTCCCTCCTTGTACAGAGAGGCTGTTCTGCCTCTGTGCAACGGCTATTTTCTCAGCTGTCCATAATGACACCACATTTTCTAGTGTTGTTGTTCGATGCTTTTTAAAATGATTTCCCCTGCTTTCAGTGTGGAAAATATAAAGTGATGATAAAAACCTCAGTGCTGAGAACTGCTTACACTAAAAGTTCTTGTTGGTGATTTCTACATGG